TATCAATAAATATTATTGTAAATCTTTCAATCTTTACAGAAAATCTGATAGTGTCAGCTTCTCCTTCCTATGTGTATATGCCAACCAGCTGCTACAACTATACAACCGTGGAAAATGTTACTGTCATAGAAAGCACTACAGTGACTCAAAACGTCACAATAACAGATGAGGTCATACAAACTGTTAACGTCACATTCACTGTAAATTTTACTATGACGGAAAACGTCGCCATAACGGATTATGTATTAGTACAAGAAAACGTCACTAGGACAGAAAACGTCACAGTGACGCAATTTATCGAAAGGACAGAATACGTCACAGAAAACGCGGTTACAGCAATCGTGACTTCTTTTGCTCCCTTCACAGTTACTGTACACGTGCCTATTACTCCATTACCCACAGCATGTGATAGTCAAACCTCTTACATAAATACGTCAAACACGCGTTATATAGAGGAGGCGATGGAGAATATTTCTAAAGCTTTATACGTAGACAAAAAGACGACTAATTCTTACATAAGAACAAAAATAAGTGCACAGGATAATCGACCGTCTTCAGTGACGATGGGATATGTAGGTATCGTGTGTGTGGTTGTGCCGTTTGTTCTAATTCTGTTGTCGGATTTGAAAACCATTTATGTTCATATGTCGGCCATATGCAGGAGCTACAATGAACCATCATCCCCGCCAGCATGACAACGAGCGCTGGATGGATTTGGACTTTAATTTTTTATTTATTAAATCTCTATGCTCACCCTTGCACAATTTCTAGAGACAAAGGCACCATGAAGCCGTGGCATGCAACATATCTCTCCATATTCCAAGATGGCTCTGATATCAAACCCTTTTTTTTGTATGCACAGGGAAGTGACAGAGTGTATGTCATACTAAAATAATCTAGAATTCTGTTGAACTTGCTGGTTTGGCAATTTTTTTTTATCGTCAGTCATCGTAAATCAGAGGCCACGGTTAGGTGGAGTATTACCCGTCGACATGGAAGGATCACTCCTCCATGGCACCTGATCTCACTTCTGATGTTTTAGACGTCTGTGTTTTCTCTACACTTGATATGTCTTGTTTGAATGGACTTTTAAGCTTGAATACTGTTTGTTACCTCCTTATATAACACATTACAATCATCGGGCGTCATTAAAAAAATTGACATGAGAAGAGACCTCAATAAGTCATGTTTCAGTTTTTGGACTGTATATATCATAACATTTTTTTTTTTAAATTGATTGTTTATTACATTAAAATTTATCAATTATCTTAACGGAAGAAGGGGGGGGGGTGAATACGTGACTTTACACATCACGGCAAAGAATGTAATCATAGGGTTGTACAACTGTACCGTTGCCAAATATTTTCAACACATTCCCTTCACATTTTTAGCTCACCTGAGCCGAAGGCTCAAGTGAGCTTTTCTGATCAAAATTTGTCCGTTGTCTGTCGTTGTCGTTGTTGGCGTTGTTGGCGTTGTTGTCGTCGTTGTCGTCGTCGTCGTAAACTTTTCACATTTTCATCTTCTTCTCAAGAACCACTGGGCCAATTTCAACCAAACTTGGCACAAAGTATCCTTGGGTGAAGGGGATTTAAGTTTGTTCAAATGAAGGGCCACGCCCTTTTCCAAGGGGAGATAATCATGAATTTATTAAAAATTAATGGCATTTTTAAAAAATCTTCTTCTCCAGAACCGCTGGGTCAGGAAAGATCAAACTCATGTGGAAGCATCCTCAGGTAGTGTAGATTCAAATTTGTTCAAATCATAACCCCCAGGGCAAGGGTGGGGCCAAAATGGCGGACCGAAGTTTTACATAGGAATATAAAGGAAAAATGTTTAAAAATCTTCTTCTTCAGAACCACTGGGCCAGGAAAAATGAAACTCATGTGGAATCATCCTCAGATAGTGTAGATTCAAGTTTGTTCAAATCATAGCCCCCGGGGCAAGGGTGGGGCCAAAATGGCCGACCCTAGTTTTACATAGGAATATATAGGGAAAATCTTTAAAAATCTTCTTCTCAAGAACCACTGGGCTAGGAAAAATGAAACTCATGTGGAATCATCCTCAGGTAGTGTAGATTCAAGTTTTTTAGTTCAAATCAAGACCCTTCGGGCAAGGGTGGGGCCAAAATGGCCGACCCAAGTTTAACATAGGAATATATAAGAAAAATCTTCTTCTCAAGAACCACTGGGCCAGGAAAGATGAAACTCATGTGGAATCATCCTCAGGTAGTGTAGATTCAAGTTTGCTCAAATCATGACCCCTGGGGCAAGGGTGGGGCCAAAATGGCCGACCCTTGTTTTACATAGGAATATATAGGAAAAATCTTAAAAAATCTTCTTATCCAGTAAAAATGGGCCAGGAAAGATGAAACTCATGTGGAATCATCCTCAGGTAGTGTAGATTCAAGTTTGTTCAAATCATGACCCCTGGGGCAAGGGTTTGGCCAAAATGGCAGACCCAAGTTTTACATAGGGATATATAGAGAAACCTTTTAAAATCTTCTTTTCAAGTACTTCAAAGCTATGATTTGTGATATTTATATGGAATCATCCTCACGTAATGTAGATTCTAGTTTGTTCAAATGATGAACGCCTGGAAGGGGGGGGGGGGTTAAATTCAAGCCCGATGTGCTCAGGTGAGCGCTGTGGCCCCTGGGCCTCTTGTTATTATTAGGTCACCTGAGTAACTCAGGTGACCTATTGCTATCCGTTTTCGTCCGTCGTCGTGTGTCGTGTGTCGTGCGTCGTGTGTTAACATTTGAACATTTTCAGCTTCTTCTCTGAAACCACTTAACCAATTTCAACCAAATTTGGTATACAGCATCTATGGGTGAAGGGGAACAAAAATTGTGAATTTCATGGTCCCTGCCCCCCTGGGGCCTGGGGGGTGGGGCAAAAACCACTTAAATTATTGCAATCTTTAAAAATCTTCTTCTTTACTCCTGGACATCAAGCAGGCAAACTGTTGGCATGAAAGTAATGAGCATTGAGTCCTCTACCAAAATTGTGAAATTCATGGCCCCAGGGTCAGGGGTTCTAGTGCTAGGGCGGGGCTATATAGATTATATAGTGAAAATGCATTATTTCTTTGAAAATCTTCTTCTCTGCTCCTAGGTATTAAATAAACTAACCAAGCACATAGTTATGATGAGCAAGAGTGCCTCTTTCAAAATTGTGAATTTTATGACCCCAGGGTCAGGGGTTCTGGTGTTAGGGCGGGGCTCTATTGGTTATGTAGTGAAAATGCATAAATTATTTGAAAATCTTCTTCTCTACTTCTGGGTATTAAATAAACTAACTAAGCACATAGTTATGATGAGCAAGAGTGCCTATTTTAAAACTGTGAATTTTGTGACCCCAGGGTCAGGGGTTCTGGTGTTAGGGCGGGGCTCTATTGGTTATATAGTGAAAGTGCATTTTTTCTTTGAAAATCTTCTTCTCTACTTCTGAGTATCAAATAAACTAACTAAGTACTTAGTTATGATGAGCAAGAGTGCCTCTTCCAAAATTGTGAATTTTGTGGCCCCAGGGTCAGGGGTTCTGGTGTTAGGGTGGGGCCCTATTGATTATATAGTGAAAATGCATTTATTCTTTGGAAATCTTCTTCTCTGCTCCTGGGTATTAAATAAACTAACCAAGCACATAGTTATGATGAGCAAGAGTGCCTCTTTCAAAATTGTGAATTTTGTGACCCCAGGGTCAGGGGATTTGGTGTTAGGGCGGGGCTCTATTGATCATATAGTGAAAATGCATAAATTCTTTGAAAGTCTTCTTCTCTGCTTCTGGGTATTAGATAAACTATGTAATTAAATAGTTATGTTGATCAAGAGTGCCTCTTTCAAAATTGTGAATTTTATGACCCCAGGGTCAGGGGTTCTGGTGTTAGGGCGGGGCTCTATTGGTTATATAGTGAAAATGCATTTATTCTTTGAAATTCTTTCCTTTGCTTCTGTGTTTATGCCTATGATCCAAATATATATATTCATGATGAAGAAAGGTGCACCTAGCAAAATGGTTATTTTTTATGCCCCCGCCCCTTCCCTGGGACGGGTGGGGGGGGGGGGGGTAACAAAGTAAAAAATTAATTAATGCTTTGAAATTTGCTCTTTGGTGTTAATCAACCATTTTATGATAAAATTTGCAAAATTTTAAAATATGTGGCCCCAGGATCAGTGGTTCCTTTGGGATGAGGTGTACAACTGGTTATAAAGTGGAAGTGCATTTTCTCTTAATTGTACTCTGATCTACCTCTGGGTATTAAGTAAATAGAGTAAGCATGCTAAGTCTAAATTATTATAAGCAATGGTACCTCTTTCAAAATTGTGAATTGCGAATTCCATGGCCTCTGGTTATAACATGAACCAAATTAAATTGTTTGAAAGTTGTTGCACAATACTCAGGTGACCTATAAGGCCCGTGGGCCTCTTGTTGTGAGATTTAAGAGATGGAGATTTGCTAATAGTGTGCTCTTGTCCATCACCTTTAGCGATCTACATAACTTAATTGAGACGCACAATGTAAAGACAAAAAGATACCAAAAAAAAAAAAAAGACCTATTACAATTTTATTCAAGATGTCTTCACATGAGGATAACATTTATTTACATTGTAAATACATGTCACAGTGAAAAATAATTATATATATCGCAATTTCATGGAATGACCAGATTTTAAATCAAACACAAAAATGTAATAAATTGCCACAAAATGTTGGTTACAAAAAGATAAAAAACTTCTTTTACCAGGCGTATGTACAGTATAATGTAAGCAATAGTTTCTTGTTGTAGAATGCACTGGTTTTGTTTTAAAAACCTAAGACAATAAATCTTTTAAAGAATAATACTTATATTGTAAATAGTTTGATGAATTTCAGGATTAATTATGTCATTTCGTTTTTCTTTTACAAGACAACACAAGCAATAGCTGAATTTTTAACCAAAACAATTAATTTTTACTCTAGTTATTGCCTTTAATATTTGAAGTTGTAATGAATCACATTGCCATCCATCCGGTGATCTTAGGATCAGTTTCCTGCACGAGTCTAATACTTACAGTCACCAATTCTCATATGGGAACAAAGTTAGTCTCGTTCTTCAATTTTGTTAAAGAACACATCACAGAAAATGTCACCACAAGCTAGATCCCAGCTTCAATCATTTTTGAGGATTTAGATTCCTCAGTTAAATAATCTTTTCATAAATTTAAATATATTTACAAAAGTTTCATGACAACAATAAGATTATAACTTGTATATTCCAAAATAATTTTTTATCACCGAGGATTTATCCAAAAACTTGTGTCCACTCTGAGACAGGGGGCTGGCAATACGATAATCGCCTTGCAATTCGAACACCCCCGCAAGAAAATTTGTATGATGTCTATCGGATTCAGGCGACCCCCCAAATTTACTGAAAATGAGGTCAACATCGCCCGTCTTGGGCAACATAGGGTGACATTTAATAATACTTTGATACAGAGTTTCTACCGTGTCCTGACCAGTGTGATCAAACGTAGTGGAGCTGTAGATGAAATAGACGCCACCTGTTTTGATGCGCATGTGCGTTCCGTTCATCAGTTCAATGTCGTGTGCAAATGCGGTGCCATATGAATCGTCAGCTATCCACCGCAATTTGTTTTCTGCAATGGAGAAACAAAAAAACTGGAATGCTTGATGAAATACTTAAGTATAAAATACATCAGAATCTGCGTTGTTTTGTCCGTTTTTCTTATAATTTATGAACATAAATTGCAGAATTCAATGAAAAACGCATAATTAATTAATCAGTTATTAATTTTGTCATTTTTCTAGAGTGAATAAATTTCCTTGGTAGATGATGGATGAACCAGAATGTCCTTTATAATCACTGACCCTTTGTAACGGAATTATCCCTGTCCAGATAAAGGTGGGCGGAGTGGGGTCTATTTCTCCACCAGGTGAACGAGTCCCGGATCGAAGAATTATTACCTGGAAAAATAACGTTTATAGATATGATTGGTGTATGACAAAAGTGTGTCTCTATCTTTTCCTTTTTATAATATTTTTTTATCAATTATCTACTGAAATTAACCTCAATTAAATGTCCGTAAAGACATGTTCTACAATTCTTATAGATTGGTCTTTTTTTTTTAAACAAAATTATTGATTCGCCAATAAATACATTTATTTAAAAATATTGGATGTTAAATTTTAACTTGTGTTTCAATAAAATGTTTTTATAAGAACTTCGGAAACTGAATATTTATCTCTTCTAATCTTTATTAGTTGCTAGGTTTAAGAATGTATTGTGCATAGCTATCTCACCTTTGGCATCGTTCTGATTTAGTGTCTGAAAAAGAAGGAAAATCCAAGGTTTGAAAACGAAAGTAGAAACTCAACTTTCCAATATTATTAATTTTTTAAAACATTCCTTCTAAAAATAGCACACAGTAATGTACTTATAATAACTTACCGCTTGTACAAAATCATGAATCACGCTGTTTTTAATGCAGCATAACTTGTGTTGACAATCAGTTGTAACAATTTTGTCGTAAAGTGTCTCATTCACACTCACACTGTTTCCTAAATAGTCACACGAAAAACAAACCGAGTCTTTTGTTTGTACCTCTCCATCACCGCTTACATTACCGATGATTTCCTGCTGGTCTGGAGTGTCAGTTTTAAAACGAAAGTAGGTTCCAACATCATCCCAGTTTAATGCAAGTAAAAATCCGAATACTATCGCTAACAGTACATTTACCACACAGGAAATTATCACTATAATTTTACAAACTTGTCCCGAGTTATTCATTTTCAATATTTTGAATTCACCCCTGTTACTGTTCGTCGTGTTTCTTCTTTATATGCTGTTTTGTAAATGTGGGTTTTTCCATTCCGTGTTGAATTAGCCCACTTTATTTATAAACCTCCACAGATAATAAAGTTTCCAAGGTTACTGTTGAGGATACAGGAAAAAACGTCAGAAGTAGTTCTTTAAAAGCCTATTATATTATAATCGTAATATGTTCAAGTATGAATGATGTATTTATTGAAATTTTGGAAAATTGAGATTTATTTTGAAATAAGGAACTTATAATTATGTAGACATATGAAACTCGTATTTGTATTCTTTTGATTATTTTAGCGTGAAAAACAAACAGTATTCAAACTTAAAATTCCATTGAAACAATTATAACAATAAATGTCAGGAGCAGAGCAAACACGAACCTGTTAAAATAACAGAGATAGAATCAGGTGCCATGGTGGAAGACACATTCCAGCTGACCGGTCACCCCCGCTATGTCTCCTTGTCATGATCGGGATAACGGGAAAATCCGTAAATATAATTGCCCAACAATAAGAATGAAATGTCAATCGGCATTCCACTAATTTACAGAATAAATTTTGTAGTTCGTCAATTGTTGATTATTTGACAGAAAGAGAACATCTCGTCTTATGATATGGAATCACGTAAAACCTTGTCATTGCACAATCAATCATTTGTCTCTCTGAAAACCATGTAAATGGTAAATGAGGTAGATAGATAAAATCGTATTTACTTCAGTGGGCGATATTAATGAAGATAGCTGAAGCTTTTGAGGAATAAATGTACCTACATTTTTTAAAGAATCAACATCTTTTTGGCACATGACTTAAATAAACTTAATAGTTTTTGGGTTAAAACAAATATTTTGTTTAATTTTTTTCTTAATTGGTTTAAAAACACTTCATTTTAAAATACGGCAACATTCTTCTCCTATTAATTATACTCGCATAAGCTGAACTTTTGATTCCATCTACCTCACTCACACTGTCAATTAGAAGGTGATGGTTTGTATTTTATAAATTTTCAAGATAATAAAGTTTATGTTAAATACCCTTTGCACTCAAAATAAGTTTTATAAATTTTATAATTTTAAATTTTTTTGGATTCTTGAAGTTTAATAACCTACTTTCGAATGTATATTGATCTTTTAGTCGTTGCTTGTATGTAGCAGTTAATGAGTATCCATATTTCATTATAGAAATATTCCTTGTACTATACAGTTGATAAACCACGTCTGTCAGAACTAATAAGTACAAAGGAAATACAGTTCGTCATTTTGTCATTTCTTGTTTACGTGACTACACATATACAATTCTACATATATATATTTTTTTCTTTTCTATATATACAGGATGTGTAAACGCTTTCTAGTATGCAATTTATCTCTGATTTACTCCAATAAACCAAAAATAAACACATTTTTCGAAAGAAGGAACTGAAACCGTAAGATTTATCGACAAAAAATACACATGACAGCTAATATGGCTATCCCAAGGTTATTATTGGAATACCGGGAACTTAGCAATAAAACTGAATATAGTTTATTTTGTAATCGCACCGATATCTTAGGTTTCCTGAATCGATAATTGTATTTCCTATCCTAAGAAAATGGAAGATTAAATGGGAAATATCTATTTATATTGACAGGACGCAAAATATTATTGTATTTCTCTTTCCTTGTTTTGAAGCACAGTTAATATATTGTAAAAATTTGTACAGTAT